CTGTCGTGGGTACACCACACATGTTTAGTACATCACTACAAGCCTTTCCTCACTCCCAGGCTACAACCCTCACAGCTAGTACATCACTACAAGCCTTCCCTCACTCCCAGGCTACAACCCTCATAGCTAGTACATCACTACAAGCCTTTCCTCACTCCCAGGCTACAACCCTCATAGCTAGTACATCACTACAAGCCTTTCCTCACTCCCAGGCTACAACCCTCATAGCTAGTACATCACTAAAAAGCCTTTCCTCACTCCCAGGCTACAACCCTCATAGCTAGTACATCACTACAAGCCTTTCCTCACTCCCAGGCTACAACCCTCATAGCTAGTACTCACTACAAGCCTTCCACCACTCCCAGGCTACAACCCTCATAGCTAGTACATCACTACAAGCCTGCCCTCACTCCCAGGCTAAAACCCTCATAGCTAGTACATCACTAAAAGCCTTCCCTCACTCCCAGGCTACAACCCTCATAGCTAGTACATCACTACAAGCCTTCCCTCACTCCCAGGCTACAACCCTCATAGCTAGTACATCACTACAAGCCTGCCCTCACTCCCAGGCTAAAACCCTCATAGCTAGTACATCACTAAAAGCCTTCCCTCACTCCCAGGCTACAACCCTCATAGCTAGTACATCACTACAAGCCTTCCCTCACTCCCAGGCTACAACCCTCATAGCTAGTACATCACTACAAGCCTTCCCTCACTCCCAGGCTACAACCCTCATAGCTAGTACATCACCACAAGTCTTCCCTCACTCCCAGGCTACAACCCTCATAGCTAGTACATCACTACAAGCCTTCCCTCACTCCCAGGCTACAACCCTCATAGCTAGTACATCACTACAAGCCTGCCCTCACTCCCAGGCTAAAACCCTCATAGCTAGTACATCACTAAAAGCCTTCCCTCACTCCCAGGCTACAACCCTCATAGCTAGTACATCACTACAAGCCTTCCCTCACTCCCAGGCTACAACCCTCATAGCTAGTACATCACTACAAGCCTTCCCTCACTCCCAGGCTACAACCCTCATAGCTAGTACATCACCACAAGTCTTCCCTCACTCCCAGGCTACAACCCTCATAGCTAGTACATCACTACAAGCCTTCCCTCACTCCCAGGCTACAACCCTCATAGCTAGTACATCACTACAAGTCTTCCCTCACTCCCAGGCTACAACCCTCATAGCTAGTACATCACTACAAGCCTTCCCTGTTCTCTGCTGTGCTGAAGAGACAAATCATTAACATAGATTGATAAAGATAAAACGAAAAATCAGAGATAACACATGACGGGAATATTAAGAATATATAACTGTAGTGTAGGCGCGCCTCTGGCAAGACAGTGATGAAATAAATGATGAAAGTGTTTCTTCTTTTTCGGGTCACCTTGAATCTGTGGGAAACTGCCGATGCGTTAATAAATAACAAAATATAAAAAGAATTGGTAGATGGGACCTTCATCCGCCAGAGTGAGGAATGCTACAGCTTCCTCCTCCCTCAAGACAACACTAACGACATGATCTTAAATTCCGTGTACATCATGGATATCACGAAGGTCACGAGATATGTATGCCGGAGCTTCAGAGTCTACCGCCTAATAGCTTCCACCGAAGAGGCAAGAATCAGTCCGCTGGATCACCCCGGACGTAAAGTGGCCTGTGACTTGCATACCATCACAGCCCTGTTGATCCGGCAGGAATTACCTGGAGTTTACCTGGAGAGAGTTCCGGGGGTCAACGCCCCCGCGGCTCGGTCTGTGATTTCTATAGTTGTACCAACAGTGCATTTGATATCGTCTGGTAAGACGTTAAATAATTCTTGGACCACACACTTTCTCCTGTACCTCTTACTCAAGAATGTTATCATGGCAGTGTGCAGATTTTAGACCAAACCCTCTAGTACTTTCAGAGTATATATTAGATTGTATCTCTTATTAGCTTCAGTAAGTACGGTACATATTCAGGACTCTGAGGAGTTACTACCTATTTAAAACTTATACGTTCTTGGCTCTATGCAGGCCATAAATGATCTTTGAATCTATTGCAACTCTTAAATTTCTCCAGCCCTGAACGGAGCTGTCAACAATGAACAATACTCTTAGTACAGGAGGCCAGAAGTTATTTGAATATTGTCACCATTTCCCTTATTTTGAAAGCTCTCATTATTCATTCCATCATCTTCCTGGCTGTCGTGACTTTGATCTTATTGTGTTCTTCAAAAGGTCAGTTGACATTATTACTCCCAGGTCTTTTAAGCGTTCCATTCATTTTATTTGATGATTTTTTTACACAGTGTCACTTTTGAGTTCTTAATGTTTTCCATATATAAGCAACTGGAAATTGTCACCAAGATCCAGCTCATTGTAAAATTAAGATTTTGTACCTTAGGAAACGTTATTACTTCGTATCGTGACGTTTGACATTCCTTATTTCTAGCGAGATATCAGTTGCACCTGACATGCTGTCTAGTGCACCTGACATGCTGTCTAGTGCACCTGACATGCTGTCTGGTGCACCTGACATGCTGTCTGGTGCACCTGACATGCTGTCTAAGTGCACCTGACATGCTGTCTGGTGCACCTGACATGCTGTCTAGTGCACCTGACATGCTGTCTAGTGCACCTGACATGCTGTCTAGTGCACCTGACATGCTGTCTGGTGCACCTGACATGCTGTCTAGTGCACCTGACATGCTGTCTAGTGCACCTGACATGCTGTCTAGTGCACCTGACATGCTGTCTGGTGCACCTGACATGCTGTCTAGTGCACCTGACATGCTGTCTGGTGCATCTGACATGCTGTCTGGTGCACACTGACATGCTGTCTGGTGCACCTGACATGCTGTCTGGTGCACCTGACATGCTGTCTAGTGCACCTGACAAAGCTGTCTGGTGCACCTGACATAACTGTCTAGTGCACCTGACATGCTGTCTGGTGCACCTGACATGCTGTCAGGTGTGAAGGTGGACATGCCACTTACAACAAATAAGACAACCATAAGAACATCTACCCTGTATCATTTTCACTTAAAAAATAGCCGATTTAGCCGTAACAATGCAAAAACAAAAGTTTATTCTTATATAGCAAAATAAATAATATGGAAGCATTGTGTTGCAGGTTCCTCTACAACAATGGAAACATATCTGCCTTACAGGCACTCTCTCTCAACAAGCCAAATTGACTTAAAAAAGTTTTGAAAAAAGTAACTTTTAAATTCTTAGGCTTTCATGTTACCGTGAGGGTCAGAGTTATATATATATATATTATATATATATATATATATATATATATATATATATATTTATATATATATATAATATAAACATTTACACGCTCAACACACATGCACATTACAGTCACACACGCACTTTTTCACACACACACACACACACACACACACACACACACACACATCTTAATGAATGCCTGACAGTGAATAAACAGAGATATGGACGGGGAATCGAACCGTGGTGTGTGCAATTGAGAGGGTCAGCGTTGTAACCCTTCAGCCACCAAGGCTGGAGTAGTATGATTCTATAAGCAGCACTTAATGGCTGATAGGTTAGAACGCTGTCCTCTGACGTAGATGACGAGGCGGGGCGGGGAGGTGCTGACGAGGCTGAGGGCGGGGAGGTGCTGACGAGGTGGGTGGGGTGGGGAGGTGCTGAGGCGGATGGCGGGGAGGTCTTGACGAGGCAGGGGGCGGGGAGGTCTTGACGAGGCTGGGGGCGAGGAGGTCTTGACGAGGCTGGGGGCGAGGAGGTGTTGACAAGGCGGGGGGTGGAGGGAGGTTTTGACGAGGCTGGGGGCAGGGAGGTGTTGACGAGACGGGACAGGGAGGTGTTGAAGTGGGGCGGGGAGGTGCTGACGAGGCGGGCGGGGAAGTGTTGACGAGGGGGCGGGGAGGTGTTGACGAGGCGGGCGGGGTGGAGAGGTGCTGAGGCGGGGGGCGGGGAGGTCTTGACGAGGCTGGGGGCGAGGGGGTGCTGACGAGGCGGGGGGCGGGAGGTGTTGGCGAGGCTGGGGGCAGGGAGGTGTTGGCGAGGCTGGGGGCGGGGAGGTGCTGACGAGGGTGGGGCAGGGAAAGGGGTTTTGAAAGGGGCTGGGGGGGGGAGGTGTTGACGAGGTGGGGGGGGCGGGGAGGGGGTTTAAAAACATAAGAACATTTAAAAAAGAAGGAAAAATGCCCGAAGGCCTATGGCCCCTTTGGGGGGCAGGGCCCCGTCTCCTACCCCTTAAGCCAATGCAAAACCTAGTCAGGTTTTGGTCACATTTGACCCTTTAAGGGGGGGAACACGGCAAAACCCACCTGTTAGCACAAATATCAGGTCTAATCACACCCCCCCACATCTACTCATGTATTTATCCAACCCATTTTTTTAAAATTCACAACGGGTTTTGGCCTTTTATAAAAAGGTACTTTTGGGGGTTTGTTCCCCCTATCCCCCAACTCTATTACCAAACCAGTACTTTCCCATAAACCCCCCTGAATCTGAATTTTTTCCCAATTTTAAAAATTTTCTGGCCCAGTCCCGTCTAGGTAGATATTTTCAGCACCCCTATTTACATCCCCCTTTAAATTTTTCCTGTCTTCCCTTATACACCTAATCATATCCCCCCAAATTCTCGTCTTTTAGAGGTGCATTTTTAGGGCCCTTAGTCTATCCTCATGGGGGAAGGGTTTTTGAACATGGGATATCTTTGTCATCCTCCTTTGTCATTTTCCAGAGAATTTATATCCATTCTGTAATACGGTGACCAAAACTGTGCAGCATAATCTAAATGAGGCCTAACCAAGGATGTATAGAGTTGAAGAACAACCTGAGGACTCCTATTATTTATGCTTCTTGATATGAAGCCAAGGATTCTATTAGCTTTATTGCGAACACTTATCACTGTTGTCTTGGTTTCAGATTACTGCTAACCAGAACTCCTAATCTTTTTCGCAATCCGTAATAATTAAGATCTACATATTTAGTTTATATGTGGC